TCCTGAGTGTTCTAGGATGATTTATTGTTATTAAATATCCTTGAGTCAGTTCTGACTCATAGTTTCCCTAAGTAGGGTTTCTGAGGAGGAACTTGTGAATTTGAACCACCAAACCTGTGGTGCAAACCAACCTTGCGGTCCAGAGCATTGTCCTGCAGTGCCACACCAGGACTCCAGTAGGATGACAGGAATATCTAAAATTGGGGGAGATAAAGGCATGAAGTGGTTGGCTTACAAGCTTTCCTGGGTATATTACAGTTAAAATAATACGGGGAAAATTAATTCATCACTGGATTAATTGTGAAAGCTTGGAACTCTAACGTGGGTATAAAATGAGTCATCTGCCTTTTTCAAGGACCATACAGGAGTGTTATATAGAGGATTTATTGACAGCAACACTGCAGCCTTTAGCATATCTTTAATTAGAGTAGTAATCTTTAGTCCACTAGGTGTATTATATTTTGGGTCTGTGAATGCTTAAAATGTTCTGATATAAAGTGAATGGTAATTGCATATTTGCTTTATGCCATTTCTACTTAGGAAAGGTTACATAGGAGTGGTCTATTTTCAGATAACAGGGAAAACCTGTAATGTTGTGTCCAGCCCCAGAGCACAATACTATCATAATAAAGTATAACGTTGAGTTGGGATTGTATCTTTTTTTTTTTTTCAATTAAATTAATAGTTTATTTTTTTAGAGCAGTTTTAGCCTTATAAAAAAAATTACCTCATCCCTGCGTACATGGATTCCCCTGTTAACATTTTACATTAGTGTAGTACATTTGTTACAATTGATGAGCCAATCATTGATATTTAACCAAAACTCTCATTTACCTTAGGGTTCATTCTTTGTGCTGTCCAGTTCTATAGGTTTTGACAAATGTACAGTGCTGTACCTTTTGACTGATTTCCCTCCTTTTTCCTTCTGAACCCATTTCTAGGTGTCTCCATAGTTTGCTTTTCCCAGAATGTCATCTAGTTGGACTCATACAGCATGTAGTAGTATTTTAAGATAAGCTTCTTTCACTTAGCAGTATGCATTTTAGGTTCCTTAACTAGATCATCCGGGTGTGTTGATTCTGGATCCAACCAAATTTTATTGGACCAGTTATAAGGATTTATTATTTTTTTTTAGTTGAGGTGTAATCCACATGATGGCTGTAGTCTTTGATGTTAATGAATAAGTATTTCAAGTCTTCTTTATTTTAAGCAAGCAAGGTTGTGTCATCTATAACAGGTTGTTTATGAGCTGCATTCTTCTTCATATAATCTACCTCAGATTGTTTGCTCAGCATACAGACTGAATAAGTGTGGTAAAAGGATACACATACTCCTGTGAATCTCGTATGTTCAGTTGGCCAGTAGCTACTGAGCAGTGTGGCTCTGTATAAGCACTGCAATGTGAACCATAAAGCTGAAGGTTCAGTCCTGCCAGCTACTCTTCAAGAGAAAGAAGAGACTTGCTGCTCCCATAAAGATTTACAGCTTCGGAAACCCTATACAGGGTTACTATGAGTTGGAACTGAATCGACGGCACTTAACAACCTAGCTACTGACAGTACTGAGTTTTCAAAAATAGCATTTATACAAACTAACACTTACTCCACCTTATTTTTCCTATGAGATTTCAAAAGTAAAGCTTTCAAAAATTTTAAGATATATTTTATTACCATGCTATATTCTTGCATAGTTGTAATAAGTAATTTGGTATTTGGTCTTAGGTCTTAGAAATCTAAAGATACTCTATATTTATAATATGATTTAATGCTATGTTTGGATTTTGGATTGTATTTAGCTTTGTTGTTGCTGTTAAGTGCTGCCAAGTCAGTTTCCAACTGATAGTGATCCCTTATTTGGTTTTCAAGGAACGATGGGTGGGTTTGAACCACCAACCTCATGGTGAGCAGTCCAGTGCTTACCGTACAGTGCCACACCAGGACTATGTATTTTTGCTTTCTGTACAACAGTAGATCCTACTTAAGTCAAGGTGGCAGAGTTGCTACAAATGGTCTTGTTCTTTTTAGGAGTTGTATAAATTCAATTGTAATTTATTCGAAATTATATGGTATCTACACTAGAATTTAAACTAAAATAAGTACTAGCTAAAACTATAGGCTTAAGAAAAATGTAATGAAAGAGACATAAAATTGAGAGTATTTCGGTGACTATTTTTATTTCTCCCATTAGAAAATGACTGCTATTTAATTTTATTTCAGTGGTGAAGCACTTTCATAACTTTGACTAGTGTTATTGTTTCTTGTATCATGGTTTAGGCATTGGTTTGCCTAAGGAAAACTACTAACATGAGATCAAAATTGCACTGGTAAAACATGAGATAGAAAGTGTGTACAAGCAAATTTTTGTTTTTTTTATTTTATTCACTCTATAAAAACTTTTTATTTTTCACTTAATTTTTAGCACATCTGTACAAATTTATATGAAAATTATTTATTGCACGAGAGCCAAAATATGACCTTGAATTTATCTTACCTGAATTTAGAGATCATCTGAAAACATATTTGATACATTAAACAGTAAAGACCGAAGACCAGAAGATTTGTGGGATGACATCAAAAATATCATACGTGAAGAGAGCAAAAAGTCATTAAGAAGACAAGAAAGAAGGAAAAGGTCAAAATGGATGTCAGAAGAGACTCTGAAACTTGCTCTCCAGAAAATTT